TCACTAGAGAAGCTGGACACTATGAAGAAGATTGCACCATCAGGATTAGAGGAAGAGTCATCAACAATCTGCATTATGCAGATTATACAACATTGCTCAGTGAAGTAAAAGACAGTTTGAGGTGTTTATTGCAGAGGATCAAGGCCTTCAGCATGGATTACATCTCAACATAAAAAAACCCACAAATCTTTACCATTGGACCAATTGGCAACATCATGATAAAGATTAAAATTGTCAATTCATCATGCATGGATCCACAGTCAACACCTTTAATACCAGCAGTCAGAAGATCTGAAGATGTATAGCATTGGGAAAGTCAGCTGTCAGAGACCTCTCCAAAGTACTGAAGAGCAGTGATGACAGTTTAAAGACCAATGTGTGTGCCTGATCCAAGCCATAGTTCTGTGTGTCCAAGAGCTAAACAATGAATAAGGATGACAGGAGAAGAGACTATGCCATTGAGTTGTGGTGTTGGAGAAGAGTCCTGAATATTCCATGAACCACCAAAAGAACAAAAATATATGTTCTTGGATTGTTGTTGTTATGTGCCATCGAGTCGCTTGCAACTCATAGCGACCCTATGTACAACAGCCCTAAACCTTGCTCTATCCTATGCCAATCACACTGCCTCTGACAAACCCATCCCGATTATCCTAGTCACTCAATCAACCACCTCATAGAGGGTCTTCCCCTCCTGTGCAGTCCCTTCACCCTCCCAAGCATGATGTCCCTCTCCAAGGACCTGTCCCTCCTTACAACATGTCCCAAATATGTCAAACGAAGCCCCAGAATCCTTTCCTCCAAGGAGAAGCCTGGTTTAACCCTCTCCAGGATGAATCTGTTTTCTTGGCAGTCCATGGTACATTCAATACTCTTCTCCACCACCACAGCTCACAGGCATCAATTCTCCTTCTATTCTCCCTAGTCATTGTCCAACTCTCTGATGAATAACAAGTGATTGCAAAGACCATTGCCTGTATCAGATGCACCTTAGTCTCCAAAGTGACACCATTGCTCTTCAGTACCCTGGAGAGGTCCCTAACAGCAGACTTTGCCATTACAATACGTTTTTTTATTTCCTGGCTACTGGTGTCAAGTGCGTTGACCGTGAAGCCAAGCTGACTAAAGTTAACACTCTCAATCTCTTCACCATCCATCCTGATGCTGCCAATTGGTCCAGTGGTGAGAATCTTTGTATGTTCTTGGATAGGTGGTGGTTAACTGTATGAAGACAATGTATGTAAGAGATTGTGTAGAGCACAATGTGGATGGATAAAGCAAAGTGTGCAAAGGTGACTATATATATTTAAAAAGTGGAAGGGGATAAAAAAAAATGTATGTTGTTAGGTGCTGTGGAGTTGAGTATGACTCATAGTGACCATATGAACAACAGATCTGAACCCTGTTCTATCGTGTAAAAATCCTCACACTCCTGTCATACTAGATCCCATCGTGGCAGTCACCATGGCAATCCACCTGGTTGAGAGTCTTCCCTCCTTCACTGACCCTCTATCTTTCCAAGCTTCATGTTCTTCCCAAGGAATAGCCCCTCCTAGCAACATGCTCAAAGTATATGAGGTGAAGCCACATCATCTTTGCCTCCAAAGAGCAATTTTGCTGCACATTTTCAAGACATATTTATTCTTTTGGCTGTTCATGGGATGTTTAGCACTCTTCTCCAGCACCACAGCTCAAAGGCATCAATTCTTCTTCTGTCATCCAGCTCTCAGATGCATACAAAGTGATCAGAAAGACCTTGGCCTGAATCTGACACACCTTAGGACTGAAACTGGTATTATTCTTCAATAAGTTGGAGTAGAACATAACTGCACTTTCCAAATGCAATGTTTCCTGATTTCCTGATTGCTGGTACTAAGGTGTTAATTTTGGATCAATTTTGGATTCAATTCTTTCTCCAACTGTCATAATTGCCTATCGGTCCAGTGGTAAGAATCTTTGTTTTCTTGACATTGAGATTCAATCCATATTGAAAGGGTGTATTCTTTAATCCCCTGCAACAGTGCTTCATATCTTCCTCACATTCAGCAAGCAAGGTTGAGTCATCTGCATAGTGAAGTTCATTGATCCTGATGTCATGTTCCTCTTCAGAGTCCAGCCTCTCAAGTAATTTTCTCAGCATACAGATTGAATAGCTATGTAGAAAGAATACAACCCTGATACACTCCTTTAATTTTAAACTATTCCCTTGCGCTGTTTGCACAACAGCCTCCTGGTCTGGGTACAGGTTTTGCATGAGCACAATTAATTGTTCTGGGATTCCCTTTCTTCTCAATGTTAGCCATAACTTATGACCCACACAGTCAAATGCCTTTCCATAGTCAATAAAGCATAAATAGACATTTTTATGGTATTTTATACTTTCAGCCAGGATTCATCTAATATCAGCATTGTCTGATATACTCTGGACATGTTGTAAGGAGAAACAGGTCTTTGGAGAGGGACATGCTTGCTGGGTAGAGGGACGGCGCAGGAGGGGAAGACTCTCTATGAGATGGATTGATTCGGTGACTGGGGTAATTGGGATGGGTGTGTCAGAGGCAGTGCGAGGCACAGGATAGAGCAGGGTTTAGGGCTGTTGTACATAGGGTCGCTATGAGTGGCAAACGACTCGACGGCACGTAACAACAACAACATTCCTGGTGGCATAGCCTCTACTAAATCCTCCTTCAACTTCTGGCAGTTCCATATCTATGTACTTTTTCTAGCCATTTTTTAATGTCTTTCAGCAGTATTTTACTTACAAGTGATACTAATGATACTGTTTGATAGCTTCTGCATTCAGTTGGATCACCTTTCTTGGGAATGGGAACAAATATGCACCTCTTCCAATCTATTGGCTAACAGCTGTCCTCCAAATTTCCTAGACTGTTGAGTGAATAGACTGGTGAAAGTACCCAGGGCTGCATGTTAATTAAGCACGTTAATTGGTATCCCACTGATTCCTGGGGCCTTACTTTTTGCCAATGCCTTCCGTGCAGCTTCCACTTTCTCCTTCATTACCTATGACTTCTGTTCATATGGTATTTCTTGAAATTTTTTCAGTGTCAGTCCATTCTTGCTGATACAGTGATTTCATGTATTCCTCCTTCTTTTGGGTGCTTTCTGGGTCATTCAATAAATCACCCAGAGCATCTTTCAGTATTGTGACTTGAGCCTTAAATTTTTCAGTTATCTCAGCTTGGGAAATGCATAGCAAGTTCGTCTTTTTTCCCTCCAATTCCAGCTCTCTGAACATTCCATTATACTACTTTGCTTTGTCTTCTTGAGCTGCTCTTTGAAATCTTTTCAGATTTTCTCTTGGCATGTTGTTTTGGATTCTCTGCTCTGGTGCAGTTGTCTCTTCTGATATCCACTTTGGTTTTTTCCTTCCTCCTCTGTCTTTGTAGTGATCTTTTGCTTTCTTCATCATCCCGTAACTCATCTGGTCTTCAATCATTGGTTTTCAATGCTTCAAACCTATTTTTTCTTCTTTTTAATTCCTATAGGGGAGAGTGGGAAGTTTTTTTCCCTTCATTTCTACAGGGGAGAGTGGGAACGCAGTCTCCCATTACCACAAATTATGCAGTTAAGTTACCCACATTTGGGAAAATCACAGGAATCAGCACATGTGGAGTCCATTGGATAAGCCTTGCCCTGGGAGAACCATCTTCATGATCATGGTATCTTCTCTGCTAGGGAAGTACCCAAACTATTACTGATATTGAAATTCATATGGCACATATTTCAGATCATATCTTGGTGTTTGTGGACTTAAGTTTTCATTTTCTTAGGCCTCAATTTGAACTTGTGCTTGAGTAACTGATGGTCTGAGCCACAATCGGCGCCGGCCTGGTTTTGACAGTCATTTGAGCTCCTCCAATGATTACTTCCACAGATGTCAATCTGCTTCCTATGAAGCCTATCAGATGAGGTCCATGTGTCATTTGCGTCTTTAAATAAAGGTATTTTCAATCAACACTAGGACATATTGTTTCTGTGCATGTAATTTTCAATAAAAGTGATAAAAGTTTAATGTGACTCAGAGATCTCTATACCCTTGATAAAAGAACCTTAAATTAGGGTTCTCAGTATATTTCCAAAATACTAAGTATTTTCAATGCATCACCCCAAATACTATTATGTAGAATTGTTAAATGTTAAACCAACTTGAGTTAATGTCAACTTTCTTTTTATCTCCAAAAATTTTCTGAGTGAAATGCCAAAAATATAGTAAGCAAAAATCATACTAAGAAATGGCTTCAGCTTGCCCTTATAAAAGTACTCCAAGTGAAAAAGAAACACACACACACACACACACACACACATATATATATATATATATATTACTTTTTCCTTTGGTATATCGGGCCAGTCTTTCATTGTTTTTGTTCAGACATGCCTCTAGGTTGTATAGCCCTGGTGTACAAGTCGCCATCCCGCGGTCACCTGGTCACTTGTGGTTGCTGTGAGGCTGAACACTGTGACATGGGTGTGTCAAACGCATTAATGGTTGGCTACCCAATGTGGACAGAGAGTGGGGTGGAACTCCCCGATTAAAACAAGCGTGGAAGGAGGACTGGCATCCACTTCCATAATAGCTTGCTTCCGGAAACCCTATGAACCTGGAGAGAGGATGAAAGGCACCCAAGCGTCAAGGACTCTCCTTCATAGGGTCGCTATGAGTTGACTGTGACTCGACAGCACTTATAACAATATATATAAATAAGAGTTACAAATTTATTTTTTTAAACACTTGTTTCTAAATGAGACTGCCATCAGCATTTTTCCCAGTTACTAGTCACAGTCATGTCAAACTATCTTTTAAGGCAAGCCAGCTGGTGAGGCAGTTAAAACTCATGCTTTCCACTATAAAGATTTCAAATGTATTTACCTGTTTATCTTCTAATGAAAGCTAACGTACTCTCAAAAAACTGCATAACCACTGTTATGTTGGTCCAGCTGGAATATGTGTATTAATTACAATTTTCTCTAATAAACTAGGTCAGTATTTACATCACACAAATTCAAGACTTAGGAGAAAAGTCTTCCACCTTAGAATAAAAGGTAACACAAGTCCTTAACATACTTTAAAATGAAGAACATAAATTAACAATTTTAAGTTATAACCAGTCTAGATTTTCATTCAGAAAATGTTCTTAAATATCAAATTTCTCTTCACAGATGCTATGTCCATTTTCTTCATAATCTTCTCTTGTGACCACCATATCCTCAAAATCGTCATTCTCTGATATCAATTTTCCACCTTCCCAAGAATAAGTAATAGGGCTGAAAATAAAAGAAAATTAATGCACATGATTTTACAGGACAACTAAAATGACTAGAACACAAAATAGGAAGTAAAATTTGACAATCTCTAAGTTACCAGAGTATCATGAAAGGTCTACTTTAAGTTTTACACCGACAGAGCACACTCACAGGAAAAGAACACTGGGCTACCTCTACAAAATAGCAAGAGTTCTTTCTTTCACATTTTACTGACTTTAGATGCTATATTTCTAATAAAGAGCAAGAAAATATAACCAAAATGTCAAAAGCTGCCTGAAAGGAAAAAAGTTCCGAGTCTAAGCTTTTTTATGTGGCAAAACAATGTTAACAATTTCTTAATCTTCACAGTAACCCATAAGGTAACTGTTATCATTTTAATTTTCTAATTTGGAGTGTGGGATTAAATTTGGGAAAAAGATTTCATCTTGAGCTGTTTTCTCAACCTGCACTTTTGCCACTATATACTTTGTGTCTTTAAAGTCATTTAGAAAAGATTCAATGGTCTTCTCTGACTCATGCTGACTCACGTGTGTGAGTACCCTAAGACTATGATCTGTAGAACTGTACATAGCTAACTTTTCAGATGTAGACTTTTAGGCCTTTTTTCCAATGTGATGCTGGTGGACTCGAACATTCAACTTTGTGCAGGTAAGCACATCAATCATCTGCATCACTCATCTCCTTAAAAAAAAAAGTACTAGCACTGAGGATCCCTTGGCTTGTAACAGGTGCATGGCATGTGAAAATCCAACATGTCTGACACTTAAAAAAATATATAATAACATGAATACAGGTAAAAATGATTTCATATCTAAGGATCACTTGTTCTTTTACCTGGCTATCAATTTTGAAAATTCTACTTTAAGTTTTAAAATAAAACTCCAGAATTAAGTCAGATATATGGCATCTTGTCTGTAATTCTGCCACTGAAAAGGTGAGTGGATTATGAAAATGTATACTTGGGTAAAAGTTCCTGACATGTGGGGATAAAAGCAGTGAGTTTTGATCTGTTCACTGCCTTTAAATTTACCATCTCACCTTTATCAAGTTGTGAGCCTGTTTTCTTACTTATAAATAAAGAATACTGAACAGTTTAAAATTCTTAAAGCTCTAACAGTTTCATTTAACATCTTTAAAAGTGGAAATGATACTTGCTTTTTCTCATAAAAATATTATATAGATGAAGCAATCTATACTCAAATTTTTTTAGACTAGTTATGTGAAAAGTTCATTTAAAAATCTTTACAATTAGAAATATTCTAAAAATTTGTGACTTGATAAAACTTATCTTAATGGTTCAATTTTTAAGCTTATATAATTGATAGAAATTGAAAGAAATCTTAGGATGGCATTTTACCAATTTTATTCCATTGCATTCCTTGAAATGCAAGGTTTATCATTTTATAGAGAAGGAGAACAAGGATCTGATAGGTAAAGACACCTGCTCAAGTAGAAGAACCAGGCCTACAGACCAACAACCTACCAAACCATTTCACATCTTATTTCTGGATAAGCCAGCACTTACTTTTCCGGGAGCACGACAGAAACGTCGTAATCTGTAGGTGTGAGACATCGAACTTCTGAGTAAACCCGATCCCTAAATCCAGGGAAAAGGGAATTTCCTCCTGTCAAGACAATGTTCTTAAAAAAATGCGGCTGCATTTCTTTAAAAGTAAAAAGCAGGAGGGGTGAGAAAGAGAAGAGAAAGGACATTAGGAAATCTGTTTACTTATCATTCTGGAAAGCTGAGGACAGAAAATTACCTAAGAAGCAACCAGAGATTACAGTTATTAGCTGGGAAACTACAACTGTTAAGGTCCATTCTAAGATAATGAGGTTACAGTTCACTCAGACACATTCAATGAGAGTTAAGTATGACCCCACAGATACTGAACTTCAAAGACAAAGTTAAAGGTAAGTTAATAGAATTACTAGCCACTTACATATGCATGCAAACTATATATAAATGAGTAACTTTTTAGTAGCAGACACTAGCAAGGCATAAAGACACATTTTCACTGAGACAGACTGGGTTATACTTAAACATGCCAGTGAAAAAAACTTATATCATCTATAATAATACTTAAGAGCACATGTCTGAGTGGGAACACTAAGTTACATGGTAGCAAACATCAAAAACTAACTCAACATGACGGAAATCTATCAATAATGGATTCTATCACCCTATGTCCTTGTTCACTAAAACAATGATAGAGTTCACCTCTTAATGACATTGAGTCTTAAGACATGACCATAAGTTCAAGCGGTTTAGTAGAAAATGCTGCATAATGATTGCAACTTTATATAAAATGGGAAATAATATTAAAATAACTGTGAAAAGTGCTTATGGGACTTTTTTCTTTTTATTTTAATGGAAAGAAAGCATATTGCTTACATTGCTTGAGATTTTCTCTAATGCCTAGGTTGTTGTTCCTTACGAACCAGGAAGATACATTGAATATAGAAAGTATAGAACTCCATAGCATCATTTAGTAAAAATATGCTTCACGAGAGGCAGAACTATGAAGTTGTTGTTGTGCTGTTGTTAGATGCCATGAGTCGACTATGCCTCACAGCAACCTTATGATCAACAGATCAAAACTCTGCCCTGTCCTGTGCCATCCTCACGACAGGCACCAGGCTCAAGCCCACTGTTACTACAGTCACTGTGTTAATCCATCTCTTTGAGGCTCTTCCTCTCTTTCCCAGGATGATGTCTTCTTCGAAGGACCTTTAAGTACTAACTTCAATTTTACAACTTCTAGTATTTTAGTCCAAATATATTTTAAAGTCAGTCTACCAGAAGATGAAAATCATTAAACTGCTAATTACAAAATTATATTCTATTCAAATGTTGGTTACATTAAAACTTTCCTATAACCTATATACCAGATAATACTCATGGAAAGATTAATTTCTTCATGTTTAAATGGATTATATGGACTTCTCCTGTATCATGTTTGCAACCTGGGACCAATAAAGAAATTTTAAAGTATAATATAGAATCTGGAAATCTCTGTGAATGAAATAAGACTTTTATTTGCTGGAAATTATTTAAAAATTAGATTATTTCTCCTGAGTTCTTGGAGTTTATGATAAAAATCTCAAAATCATTATCCTTCAGAATTTTACTAAGTATTTACATACCTTCAGGTAAGTTCTGAATTGAATAGACAATAGCTTCTGGAATCCCCATTTCTTGGATGCCTATATCAGAAGGATTAAACAGTATTTCTGGAACAGCAAATCTCTCATTGGCCAGACGAAGAATCTGTTCCCCAGATTTATATTTTCCACTTAACACCATCTCTTCCCTTGGCTTTAAGAAAAAAAACAACAGGAAAAGTTTAAGCCATATTATCCAGCTCACCTAAAAGTAATCAGTATATACATGACACTAATATGTTAAGATAACTTTGAAAATTTCAAAATTCTCAAAGGTTAAAAAATATAATTACCCATTCTAAGAAGCTTATTCTTTTTCTCCAAAAAAAGAATTTGCTTTTCATTTACATACTTTGAAGCAGAGAAAAGATAAAACATGAGAGGAGAAAGAACTTTGTAACTTACTGAGAATAGCAAGGAACACAAAACATACTCTGAAAACTGTTGCTTTCTATCTTGTCTTCAAGTCTACTTCCACCAACTTGCACTCCCCAGTGTTAAGTACCTAACAGACACTGCGGCTCTTCTCTATTTGGATTTCCCTTTTACTTTGTGCAGAACTGTCACATTTTAAAATTTGTTTACTTTTTCTTTGAGGTGGGTGTTTTTAATCTGCGGCCCTCAGACCTGGTTCAAATTGGTTTGCTTGGGGTTTTTTTTGGTCAAGCATTCTTCTAAGTGGTATAGCACTGGTCTGTGTATTGCTGTACAGAGGTAACTTGTGGTTGCTGTGATGCTAAACACTGTGACACTTATGTGTCAAGTGAGATAATGGTTACTCATGGTGGACAGTGTTTGGTGGATATTCCCGATTTAATCAAGCTTGAAAGCAGGAGTGGCATCCACTTATGAAATGGCTTGCCTCAAGAAACTCTATGAACAGTTCTAAGGTCTTCGTTCATAGGGTCACTGAGTCGTCTACAACTTGATGGGACCTAATAACAACAACAACTTTAAAAAATCAATTTCCACAAATGACTTACGCAAATATATGAATTTAATCCATGAGTGCTACATTAGGTTTCACCAAGCCAAGTCAGCTCTGACTTGTGAGACCTTATTATGTATAACAGAATATTGCCCACACTGCTGTTGTTACATACCATCAATTAGTGCTGACTCTTAGCTGACCCTACAGTGGTTTTCAGAGGCTGTACTTTGCACAGGAAGAGACTGCCTACCTTTCTCCTACAGTGCCATGTCCTGTCTTTGGATTGACATCACAACTGCTTTTCAACAAGGCCACCACAGCTCCCTTAACCATAGTCTCAGACCTTGAAATTCCAATTTGTATGAGGCCCATGTATAACAAACTTTTAACAACAATGATTCTCATTCTCTCATTATGTAAGCTAATTCAACTCATTACTGTTGTTGTGTACCAACAAGTCGACTATGACTCACAGAGACCCTATGAACAAATGCTCAAAACGTTGCTCTATGCTGCACCAACTTCACCATCTCTGACAGACCTGACCCCACTGCCAGAATAAAAAATCATCTCCTTTGACAACATTTCACACATCATGAAATGAACGGTCCCTTTTGATTTTACTAAGAATCAAATATTCTAGTTTCAATTTTGAACATTTATTTCATTTGCTCTTGACTTAGAGGGTTTTCTTCTACCTATAAAAGACAAAAATCTCAATCCTTTTTGTAAGTACAAAAATGGTTAAAACATACAAAGTAATATTGATAATTTATTATTAAACAGTAATGTGTAGAGAATACAGAATCCTTAACATAATCATGACCCTATTCTTTGCTCAGGGAGCTCTGATAGTATAGTAAGTAAGGAATTGAGCTGTTATCCCAAAAGCATACAGTTTGAATCTGACAGCAGCTTCACAGGAGAAAGATGGGCACTCAATTCCTGTGCATTTATTGCCTCTGAAAACCCTCTGGAAGGTCAGCCATGACTAGGTCATGACTCATGCTGTACAACAACTTTGCTCAGGCCTCTGTGGTCTCAGAGAGGTGATTCCTGAATTGCAAACAAGAGCCAGGCCTTTCCCTTATTCTCCAGTATCACCTTAAATTATCTTTTCTAATCTAGTGTGGCGTCAGGAATGGTGGAAGATCTATTAACAATCTCGTTATGCAGATGACACAACCCTGCTTGCCGAAAGTGAGGAGGACCTGATGCACTTGCTGCAGAGGGTCAAGGACTGCAGCCTTCAGTATGGACTGAGGCTCAATGTCAGGAAGACAAAGATTGTCACCACTGGACCAATTGGTAGCATCAGGATGGATGGCGAAGAGAATGAGATTGTTCACAGCTTCAGTTTCCTCGGCTCCATGGTCAACACTCTTGGCACCAGCAGCCAGGAAATAAAAAAATGTACTGCGATGGGAAAGTCTGCTGTTAGGGACCTCTCTAAAGTACTCAGGAGCAACGGTGTCTCTCTGGAGACTAAGGTGTGCCTGATACAGGCCATGGTCTTTGCAATCATTTGTTATGCATCAGAGAGTTGGACAATGACTAGGGAGGATAGAAGGAGAATTGATGCCTTTGAGCTGTGGTGCTGGAGAAGAGTACTGAATGTACCATGGAGTGCTAAGAAAACAGATTCATCCTGGAGAGGGTTAAACCAGGCAACTCTTTCGAGGCAAGGATTCTGGGGTTTCGTCTGACATACTTTGGACATGTTGTAAGGAGAGACAGGTCCTTGGAGAGGGACATCATGCTTGGTAGGGTGGAGGGACAGCGCAGGAGGGGAAGACCCTCTCTGAGGTGGACTGGTATGAGGTGGACTGATTAAGTGACTGGGGTAATCAGGATGGGTGTGTCAGAGGCAGTGCGAGGCACAAGATAGAGCAGGGTTTAGGGCTGTTGCACATAAGGTCGCTATGAGTTGCAAACGACTGGATGGCACATAACAACAACAACAACAACAACAACAACAACAATCTATGCTGAACACTATCAAATATTAAGAACTTTGCAGAATATCTGATTTGCAATAAGGATCCAATGTTGTTGTTGTTAGGTGTCATTGAGTCGAGTAAGACTCATAGCGACCCTATGAACGAGAGATCTGAACCCTGTCCTATCCTGTGCCATCCTCACACTTCCTGACACATTAGAGCCCACTGCGGCAGTCATTGTGTGAATTTATCTGGTTGAGGGTCTTCCTCGCCTTTGTCGACCTTCTACCTGTCTGAGCCTCATGCCCCTGTCCCAGGACTACCCCCTCCTCACAAAGTATGTGAGGCAAAACCTCTTCAACCTTGCCTTCAAAGAGCACTCTAGCTGCACTGTCTCTAAGGCATAGTTATTGTTTAAGCTGTCCATGGGATGTTCAGTGCTGTTCTGCAACACCACAGTTCAAAGGTATCAATTCTTCTGTCACCCGTACTCATTGTCCAGCTCTCAGATGCATAGCAAGTGATAAAAAGACCATGGCCTGAATCAGATGCATGCTAGGCCTCAAACTGGCATCATTACTCCTCAATAATTTGAAGAGGTCCCTAACTGCAGACTTTCCCAGTGCATTTCATCTCCTGATTTCCTGACTGCTGGTAACAAGAGTGTTAATTGTGGATCCAGGTAAGATGAAGTTGTTGACAGTTTCAATGTTTTCTCCATCTATCATGATGTTGCCTATGAGATGCAATGCATATTGAAGGCTGTATTCTTTGATCCCCTGCAAGAAGTGTTTCAAGTCCTCACTTTCAGAAAGCAAGGCTGTGTCATCTGCAGGTTACTGAGGAGTCTCCCTCTGATCCTGATGCTACATTCTCTTCAAAGCGTCCAGCTATTTGAATAATTTACTCAGCATACAGACTGAATAGGTATGGAGAGACAATATAACCTTGACACACTCCCTTCTTAATTTTAAACCAGTGTTCCCTTGCTCTGCTCGCACAAAAGCCTCTTGGTTGGGTATAAGTTTCACATGAGCACAATTAAGTACCCTGGGATTCTCATTTATTTCAATATGCCTTTAACTATATGCTTTTGCATATCAATAAAGTATAAATAGATATTCTTGTGGTATTCTTTACTTTCAGCCAGGATCCATTTGACATTAGAACTATATCCCTGGTGCTATGGCCTCTTTTAAGTCCTGCTTTAACTTCTGCCAATTCCCTATCTATGTACTGTCCGTCTGTGAATGATCTGCAGCAGTATTTTTCTTGCAAGTGGTATTAATGTTACTGATATCCAAATAAGGATTCTATAAATACTGATAAACACATGCCAGTCAGCAATGTGCTGTTCATTGTATAAAGCACTTTATATCACATGATCCCAAAGTACTCTCACATAACTCTGTAGAAGAAAGTCTTATTTTACTTTTATTAATGGTGCAACCGAAGCTTGGTAAGGTTGCATGACTTGCCCAAGCTCATTTATCTAATAATCCAAAAACCAAACCTACTTCTATTGAGTTGATTCTAACTCAAATCCAATAAGCATACAAAATATTTCTTCCACTAATTGTCATTCTTGACCTGGATATAACACAGATTCTATCTTCTGAGTATTTCATAATAGAATACTTCCTACTTTTTTTTTTTTAAATTTAGGTTGTTTATTTTTCATTTCAGTGAACATCTACAGAGATTTTGGGATTCCATTCATTCATTGTTGCACCCTTCTCCCTGCACAAACCCCTCCCCCTCCCCCCATTTGCGCCTCTCCTTGAAAAGCAAAAGAACTTCCTACTTTTAAACAAGAAACTCTAAAAATGTACACAATATTTACAACACTCTAAAGAGCAAAAAAAAAAAATTATACAGGTAGTTTCTGGGTTATGAATGTTGAATTTTTATACAATCAGAATATCAATGAACCCATCAAATAGAGATTATATTAAAAATTGAAGCTACAAATAGTGATGCATTTAAGCAAACGGGTACTACTTTGGGTACACATCAAAACATCATCTTCACTTCTGAATTATTAAACATGTTTTAGTATATCTGAAAATATGTTTTACGTACAGAGAAAGGTACATCATATACTATTAAGGCAAACATTGACTAACTGCTATATGTCAGTATTCCGAATTACACACAAATTTGCCTTAAAGAGAAGCTATAATGACAAAGAGAAGAAATTATTTCTTTATAGATTAAGTATTTTTCCCTTCTCAGAAAATAAGTATTTCTTATAAATTATCAAATCCACATAAAACTTATACTGGCTGAAGTTTCAGTGATACAATGCATTTTTGTCAACACCAAACAACTTTACACAGATGCAAACCCAGAATTTCAGTAGACAAAATATTAAAGGTTATCTAGTCCTTTCTCCTAACTTTACAGAAGACAGTCATGCATCTTATCCAGAATCAAATATTAACTAGGGAAAGAGTCAGAATGAGAGATCCCTGTTAAGGTAAGTCATAAAGCTATTAATTGTTAACAGGTCATCCAGGATCACACGTAGTATCTGTTTTTAAATGTACAATTCCAAAAAGGGTTTTTAAAAAAAAAAATAATTAAAAAATGTATTAAGTCTTGCTGGAGAATGCTCTTTCCATCAGAATAGAACATGATTATTTTACAGCCGTTATAAATTCAGGTGCAGCACCGTGACAGAAATGAGCAGTTTAAATTACAATGACTTGGAAGAATGTAGTTCTTTTTAATTATGAGGTCATTTTCTCTTTTAAGTCACACAAGTTACATTAGACTGAAATGGACATCCTCTTTCCCATAAAAACCAAAGTTCCTATCCATTATAATGGCTATTATAAACCTTACTGTTATTATTGCTGTCAATGGTTGTAGAAAAAAAAATCAAGGTTAACTTTTGCCAAAGTATTTAAAAATAGTCTTGAATAAATAATTTTAAAGCTCAAACTTTAGTAATATCTTAAGTACAAAAGCTTTAAAATATGGCTGTGTAATTCATAAGCATTTTACATAAGACGACTTTTCTGATTCCACCTTTAATAGCATTCATGTAAGCTACTGCATATTAAACAATGCAAACATTTTAGTGAATGAAAACATGTTAGTCAAGTATTAAAGAGGTGTATTTTTATTTTAGGATTAATTCTACCATAAAAAAATAATTGCTTTAAATCTTAAGCTCAAATATAGATTGTGAATATGGTGTAAATTTTAACATTACTTGACAAAATAAAGATCAAATCATTCTTTGGAAGTAAATATTAGATATAATACTCCGTGATTTCATGAGAGTCCAGTCCGGCTGACTGACTGTGCCTACTTACTGGATATTAAAATGCATGTTGCCAGGATTATCAGTAACCTGGAGTCTATCCTGAGTTAATGGAGCACAGAATGTGCAAAGATGCTATTCACAAGGTCAAAGACCAACAGAGAATGGCCATAAACTATGCCAGGCAGCTCCTGCTCTAGTTCTCCACAAAGGAGAGTGAGTGAAACAATGACCAACAGGGAGAATAAACCTACCTCTACAGCTCTAGTACGGTGCTGCTTTGAGAAACCACGCTTTGTGATCTGGCAATGATTCTAGATTAGGACACAATTCACAACATGATTGTGGTCGTTGTTGTTAAGTGCCATCAAGTTGAGTATGACTCATAGCAACCCTATGAACAACTGAGCTGAACCCTGTCCTGTTCTTCACCATCCTTATCATCTCTGATGCACTTGATTCCACTGCTCAGCCACTATGTCAATCCACCTCGCTGAGGGTTGTCTTTTCTTCTGCTGACCCCTCCACTTTTCCAAGCATATCTCTAAGATAAACGTTTGTGAACTTTCATTAAAATGAATAATAAAAAAGACCAAAAAAAAAAAAAAAGACATACGTTTCTGTTCTTTTGGCCGTCCACGGGACACGCAGCACTCTTCTCCAATACCACAACTCAAAGGCATGATTCTTCACCTCTCATCCTTAGTCACTGTCCAGCTCTCAGATTCACAGCAGGTGACTGAAAAGACCATGGCTTAAATTGGGTGTACCTTAGTTTTTAAGCCGACATCATTGTTCTTCACCACTTTTTCAAGTGCTCCATAACAGCTGACTTACCCAGAGCAGTTGTGTCTTTTGATTTCTTGACTGCTGGTACTGATGTTTATTTATATTTTTTTTATATTTTATATTTTTATAATTATATATGAACCTGAAGAGAGGATGAAAGGTGCCCAAGCGTCGAGGACTCTCATTCATAGGGTCGCTATGAGTCACCTGCGACTCAACGGCACTTAACAACAACATCATTATATATTTATATTGATCCAAGCAAGGTGAAATCATTGACATCTTCACTCCGTCTATCATGATATTGCCTACTGGCGCAGAGTTGTTGTTGGGTACCATCACATCGGCTGTGATTTATAGTGTATTGTTACAGGCACTGTGTCAGTCCACCTTGTCGAGTGTCATCCTCTCGTTCTCCGACCCTCTACCTTTCTTGGCATGGTGTCTTTGTGTAAGGACTGGCCCCTCCTGGCAACATACCCAAAGCATGTGACTTTTATCAGCCTAGTCTCTAAACAATACTCTGGTTATGAGCATATAAAATGTCCAATAATCCAGAGAGAGAAAAAAAACCAAAGCAAAAACGGGCAAAAGTCTGTGAGTTTACAAATCTAGCCGACCACCTAATCCTATGGGAGAGGCCACACCATGCCCTGCTTAAAAAGAAAGGACTCAACATTTGCAGGTATCACTGATTTTGTTTAAGCCCCAGTGTTATGCCCCAATTCTCAGTAAGGTTTGTGGAGTTTGGGAATTACTGACTTTACTTAGAGCTCACCCTGTGGAATGATTCATTTTTCAGTTTACTGCTCATGTATTGCTATGTTGCTGGAAGTTAGGCCATCATTATTTCAAATACCATCAGAGTGGCCAAATTTAGCAAAGATTTCAAGATGATCAGGAAGAAAGGGTTAGTGATCTACTTCTAAAAATTAGTCAATAAAAACCATATGGGTAACAACAGAATCTTTTTTTTTTTTTTACATAGTGCTAGAAGATAGAGCTCTCAAAGCAAACACTCAAAATACAAAATGGCCTCAAGAGAAAAGAGGTTTGCAGATGTGCCTAGTAGGAAAGGAATTTGCTATCTTAAATGTTTGGGGCAGTTTTTCTTGCACTGAAGAACAGGGTGGTAGAAAATAATAAGCCTTCCATATTTTTGCTTGGATTTGGCTTCCAGTTTCTCTTCCCTGCATTCATGCCCATACAACCTGATTCCGTAATCTTGTTCCAGTCTCCATTTTTGCAAGTCTGCTTATATCCTTCAATAGAATTCCTAACTAAGGACATTAGACAATGACTTCAATCCCTAAGATCCCAAAGAGTCTCTTTTGAATTCTGATTTTATATTACTCAATAATCTGGCCAATTTTTTTAATATTTCAGGTATTTAAGTATGTCAAATTATATAAAAAATATATATCCATCCACCTATCAACAACTTCATCTTCCTTGGATCCACAATCAGTACACTTGGTAGGAGCAATCAGAGATCAGGCGATACACTGCACTGGGAAAATCTGTAGCCATGGCCCTCTCCAAATTATTTAGGAGATGATGTCAGTTTGAGGACAAAGGCGCACCTGATTCAGGCTGTGGTCTTTTAACACACTTGTCGTGCTGCTGAGAGCTTACCAATGACTAAGGATGACAGAAGAAGAATTAATGCTTTTCAGCTGTGCTACTAGGGAAGAATGTTGAAGATTCCATGGACTGACAAAAGAACAAACAGCGATGTCTTGGAGAAGGTGCAGCCAGAGTGCTCCTTGGAGGCAAAGGTGATGAAGCTTCATCTCACATACTTTGAGCATGTTGCTAGGAGAGATTATTCCTCAGAGAGGGATGTCATGCTCTATGGAAAGAGATGACCCATCTTTCTCCTGCAGAGGCTGATGGGTCCAAACCACTAAACCTACAGTTAGAAGCTCGATGTATTATCACTACACCACCAGAGTGCCTTTAGCTGGAAAAGCAAACTTTTCCCGAGATTTCCTTTTATTCAACATAGAAGCTATAATTTATCTGATCAAAGACTGGGAGATATTGTTTTACATATAAGATTAACTACTTCTCAACATGCATAAAGTACGTTGGCTTTTACCCTTTTCAACTATAATTTAATCACATCCATGCAAACACAAGCAAAATTCCACTTCGGTAGCTATGTCAAGAACTTCTCAACAGGAAAACAACCAATTTCTAATTGGATGGAAATGAATTCTTAAGTAAACAAAAAGAGTAGCCTTAACATAGTTAGTGATGCTCTTTATCTCCAGATTTGGATCATGTGTTATTAGCTGGTAGCTCTTTTTTAAAAAAATAGTGAGAAATTTATTAATCAAATTTATAGAGTCATGGCTGAAGAAACTTCCCAGGAATGCAGCTGATCACAACTCTCAAGACTACCAACCCCAGTTGAATGTAAAATGATTTTCAAGTCTGACTCAGGTAAAAACCTGAAGCAGAATCATTAAAAATTTTAAGGATTACCTTACAAAAACCCTTCTTAATTGTGCTGAAATCGGGCAAAACATAGTCTATCATCACTGTATTTTCTTCTCCTTTCAACCTGGAAAATAAAACAGAGACTTAGAAAATATTTTAAGTACATATAGCATTCCCCAAGAATAAATTTTCCAGTTTTGTATTACCATGATACATACTTTGCAATATCCATGTCTCTATAAAAATCCTGAGACACATAGCACACGTCTTCTTTTACTTGATTAATCACATGTGTTTCATCCATAACATGTAGCTGCCTAGACAAAAGCAAGAATTGAAAAAATTTAAAATGGAAAAAAAAGGAATTATCATTTTAACTATTTTCTGAGGCTAAAATATCATATAGCTAAATTTTCAAATTATTAAACTCTTGACTTTGTATTTTAACCTTGTAACATATATACTCTTACCTTCCCTATCTTAATTCACCCCAATGTTAATTAACCCTCTTAGGGCAGATGGTAGTCAAGATTTCAAGTAAGGAGACTAAAACCGGTGATGTTAAATGTAATTCAAAGTAAAAAGATTTATTTACCTAAAGATGAAACTATCCATCCACCCCCATGATTATGAAGAGCCTCTTCCTAAAATGCCTTAACCCTTTGCACTCTCTCTGCAGATTATCAAAGTCCTATGAATCAGCACACAGTATCTGGCACAGAGTAGATGTTTGATATATACCTGATGACTAAATCAAAGAAATACAAGGTTACTGGAGAAAACAAAGGTGTCTAAAGAAATATACAAAAATTTGAGTGTTGGAGAAGGAGGAACAATCTCCTCCTGTACCAGTGCAATCTGATTTGACGGTACACACACAAAAAAGAATAAATTTTTTTTTTAAATGTTGTTGTTATGTGTCACTGAGTCACTTGCGACTCATTGCGACCCTATGTACAAGAACTCTAAACTCCATTCTATTCTGTGCCAACCTAGCCATCTCAAACGCACTTATTCCCACCACTCCAGTCACAGAATCGATCCATCCATTTTAAAAAAAGAGGGGGGAGCTGGGTATTTTTTAAAATTTTTTTCCCCCTGCACTTAAGATTTTATTACATACTAGCCGTGCTGCAATCCC